TGTAAATAAAGGATTCAAATTAAAATGGAAGCTATAAAGTTTAATCCTAAAGAACTGGTGAGTCAAAGAACAAATCATAGAAACAATAAATAATTTCATCAAAGAAAAAGGCAACAAAAAGGCAAATGACAAAAACATTAAAAATAGTCCTTAAGGGAAAATGTACATTTCCAAATACTTCCATAAATGAGAGAGCGAAAGAATAAAGAAATGAATTGAGCATGCAACTAACAAAACTAGAAAAGCAATACCTTTTTAAAAAAAATTAACATACAAATAAAACTCTGAAAATTAGGAAGAAAATTGAAAACAAAAACAATTAAATTGATAAATATAACTACCGACAGTTTTTGACAAAACTAATAAAATGTATAAACCTTTAGCTAACCTGATAAAAAGAAAGGAAAATCAAATTGCCAGAATCAAAGATGAAAAAGAGGGCTCACAACAAATGAAGGAGAAATAAAGGAAATTATTAGAAACCATTTTGTTCAATTATATAACAGTTAAAAGGATAACTTAAATGAAATGCATAAGTAATTACATAAAAAATACTAAAATAGCCATACAAGGAAAAAATTGAAATCTCAATCTCAGAAAAAAATTGAACAAGCTATAAATTAACATTCATAATTATTCATTGTTCCTATGACTTGTTTTTTGACACACTTGTTATTTAAGATTTCATCACTAAGACTCCATTTGGGTTTATGTCCTTTGTTTGTATTCCCTGAATTGATTTTTTTTTCATATTGTGCTATGCTTCATAAAGGAAGTATGTATTGTTTCTGCCTTTTTACACTTATTTGAAATATCTCTGTGCCCATGGTCAATTTTCATAAAAGTTCCATGTGGGGTTAAGAAATATGAATGTTACTTGGCTTTCCCATTTAGAAGATGCCACTTATCTTTTAGTAATGGATTCTCCAAAAATTTGTTCAATTCTATGCTTTCCCTTTTGTTTGTTTTTCTAATAGATTTTTTTCTAATCTGAGGGTAAAGGGTAACTGAAGTTTTCTATTACATTGTATTACTAGCTATGTCTTATAATTAAGTTAATTTTTCCTTTATGAATTTAGATGCTATGGTATTTGGAACACATAAGCTTAATACTTATATTGGTTTGTTTCCTTGTTTATCTCTTTTTATATTGTGAATTCTTGTTTTTGTTTTCTCTGATAGCATGATTGAAATGCCTCTTTTTTGTATTCACCTAATGCAAAATAAATTTAATTCCAGCTTCTCATTTTTATTCTGTGCATATCTTTGCTTTTTAGGTGTGTTTCTTGTAAACTGTAGAATTTTGTTCTCTTGCCCATCTTTCACTCTCATTTTACTGGATTGTTTAATACATTTACATTTAGAGTTATGAGAGTTAGATTTATACTTTCCTCCATTTGTGTCTCTACAATTTTTTTTTTCTGAATTAGGATTTTTTTTCTTATTCATCTTTTAAGACAATACTTTGCACCTAGAATTACATTTTGCTTATTCTACTTTCAGGCAACCCTGTGCCTGATGGTTCTCTCTCTCCTCCTCAAACTGTATTCCCTCTTATTGGTCACCACTTTTCTTAGTTTTGGAGTTTTACTTAACTTGTTGACTACTTATTTTTCCTTTTTTCCTTTATACTTAATTATCTAATTCTTCCCTTCCTCCCCCTTGTTTTTACTCTCAGTTAAGTAGAAAATTAAATTTCCTCCCTATTTCCCTTCAACTTGTATTTGTTAGGGTTTTTTTTTCATGTTCTGTACTTTTGATCTAAAAAGGATTTCTTTTTTTAATTTTTATTTATTTATTTTTAGTTTTCAACATTCACTTCTACAAGATTTTTTGAGTTCTAAATTTTCTACCCCTCCTTTCCCTCTCCCCTCCCTAGGATGGTGTGTGATCTGATATAGGCTGTACATGTACAATCATATAAACATATTTCCATATTAGTCATGTTGTAAAGAAGAATTAGAACCAAAAGGGAAAACCATAAGAAAGAGGAAGCAAAAAAGAGAGAGATGGGGGGGGTTGAGAGAGAGAGAGAGAGAGAGAGAGAGAGAGAGAGAGAAAATAGTATGCTTCGATCTGTATTCAGACTCCATAGTTCTTTGCAGACAGCATTTTCCATCATAAGCTAAAAAGGATTTCTTTACTTTGTTCTCTTTATTAATTCTGTTCCCTTTGTGTCACTTCTAAACTTTTATACTTTGGTTCACGGTGTTTATACATATTTATACCTATTTCAGTCTTTGGTTGTCACAGCTTCTAAAGTACCTATTTTATGTTCTGTCTTCTAAACCAACGGTGTCAAACTCAAATAGAAAAAGGTGCCTGTGGCTGAGTACTGACTTAGAAAATTACAAATCAATATTTTCTATGTTGTATTATATATTTATTTTGTTAAACATGTTCCAAATATATTTTAATTTCTATGTCATTGCATTGTAGATATTTCCTCCTCCTCTCATTTTTTTCTGCTGTGCCTCACTCTTAGAAGTATGAAATTATCAGAGGTAATGAGAATATAAATATTGTCTCATGGTTAAAATGTCCCTGTATACCTGATTGTGCAATTTAAGTCTATCTCCACCCTTCCTATGGTCACTCTCTTTCCCCTTTACCATGGAATCTTCTATCTGGATCGATGCTGTCCTCTTTTCTAGATATCAGTTACTCCTAGAGTACTGATTCTTCTTCTGGGGAAAGATAGCATCAGTAGACGCACAGCCCTTTCTCAGTCTCCCAGAATACCAAATCATTGCAGATTATACCCATTGTAAGATCTCTGTCTTCCAGTTACAGAATAAATCAGTCTTCCAGTGGGAGTTTCTCAGTGGGATCCTTTCCCCTACTGATTCAAGTTCTCTTCCTTTTTTTCCTCCTATTTCAATTGCTCCCTTTGCCACCTTACCCATTCTCTTACACTCATCTTCTTCCTCTTTTCAAACCCAGACCAGCCCATGACTCCTTAGACCATATATCAACTCCACCCATATCCTCATGTCAGCAATGTATCTAATCTTATGACCTCCTCTTCTGATTAGTGAGTTCCTCTGTGAGGAGGCATTTAAGAAAGTATTCATGCTCTCTTCAAATCTAGATAAACCCATGACTTCCCAAACTTAGTTCTCCATCTTGTTTCTGAGTAGGTATTTCCCTGCTCACATAGCTCTTGCCTTTTTAGCTTCTTTTTGTGTTGTCTTCCACCAGTAGAATATAAGCTCCTTGAGGGTAAAATTACACATTCCTCTGTATCTTCTACTTTTCCCTCCCCTTATAGGTACCCTCTCATTTTGTAGTTAAGATCCACAAAATGCATTGATTTACCTGTGGGAAGGAATTGTGAGGTGTGGTCCAGGGTATTTCAGGATTATTCCTCTACCATCATTTCTATTTCTTTAAGTTCTGCTTCCATCTTTATCCTCTTGTGTACTTTTAGAAAGAAATCCCTTAATTGTCCCTGTGTTGTTGCTGTTGGTGATGTTGTTTTTTGAACTCCATAGGTGTCTTTCTAGTTTTTTCTCTTTTTAATTTAGTAATAATAATAATCTAGAGATGAAGCAATTTATTTTGTTACTTGTTTTTCCCTTGATAGTTATGATCATTTACTTTTCTTGTATTTCTATTGTTTGAGGTGTTGACAAATTGAATGATTTGCTCACATTATATTTTTTGAAGGACTACTTCAAATACCTCTCTTTTATTGTTCATTTTTTCTGATTAGGTTCAGGCCTGTAGAGTGTCATTTCGGGTTGTGTCTTGATGGCCTTTATTTTTCATAATATAGTGTTCCATTCCTTCCTGTGGTTTCTGGTACATACAGAATAGTCTTGTGTTATTTGATTTTCTTTTCCTTTATATTTGGTGGTCTTTCTTTTTCTGTTAGTCACTTGTGAATTTTCCATCATTGGAATTGTTAAATTTATTCACTGTGTCTCTTGCACTAGCAGCACAAGGCTTTTCTTGTTGTTTTCTTGGTGTTTCTACTTTACCTGTACCATCCCATCTTTATTCAGAAATTCTGATAAATTGTTTTCTTGCAATATGGTGTTTAGGTTTTTTTGAATTTTCATTACATTTTCATTCCTCACTGAGCACTCATCCCTAACCACCTCCACCCATGCTCCAGAAGAGTGCATGATCCTTGTACTTGATTCCAGAGTACATCATCAATTTCTCTGTTGCTACTGTAGTCTTTGCCACTCTCCCTGCCCATATCCTTATACCAGCATTATGTGGCAAGAAGCAGCAGACTTCAACTCTGCCCACCAACTTCCAAAAAAGCGGACGGTATAGGAAGAGGGGATTGTGTTCTGCTGGGAGAAGGCAGCACTCAGGCAGAGAACTCAAAACAAAAATAACTAAGGTAGGACACCAGCATACATGTGGGTGCTAGTCTTGTCCCCTAAGGAGTCATTTGAGACAGGGACTAAGGCCAACAAAAACTGACTGTGAATTCTCCAACATGGGGTATGGGTCCTTCTATGTGACTTATGATCTTTAAGCATCTTGTCTTCACAATATTTTTTGCTTCTATAGAGATTGTATTCTCTTTTAACATTCTTTACTTTTGCATTTATTTGCCCAGATTGACCTTTACTTCCATATATTTGTATTTTCTCTTTTGCTTCTTTAGAGGGACTCATCACTATGGATTTGAGTTAGTCTCTTCCGTTCTTAATTTCTGCTGTGAAGATCATAAATACTGTCATTTGTTCCACTTGCACATGTTTCAGGATTTTGATTTCTTCTCTTAAACTATTTGGAAACATCCTGCTGTGATTTCATACTTGCTTGGAAATTCGGTTTCCTATATTTCATCAGGCATTGGTTCAAATTCCTTTGTCTTATAACAAGTATTTAGAAATATTGCAGTAACTTAATTTTCTTGGCAGCCATCTTCCTTTCCATTTTTTCCCCCCAGGAAGTAAAGGGCTTTTATTTAAGAGGCCCGTCGCATGTAAGTGGAAAACAAAATTCAGGAAAAAGGAGACATTAGGCAGAAGGATTTACTGGGAGGAGGCCATGATGCTGGAAACGCTCTCAAAGTTGATCTTTTCCACAATGTTCTTGGACTTGATACTCTCTTCTTGACTGCAAACAAAGACCTGTCCTGTCTCATTGGAGCTCCAGCCATATTTGCTCATCCATACTTTCAGCTGGTTGTCTGAAAGATGTCCCAACATCTCAGCCAGCAGCTAGAGGTCAATATGTTGATATGTGATGCCCACAATGTGGCAGATAAATTTTCAAATGGAGTCTTCAAAGCCTGTGATGCCATTAAGGAGAACGAGATCCATATTCTCATCTCTAGGGCATGCCAGAAAGTTTGCAAATGATTCCAGCAAGTCTCCCAAGTATGGGAACTGGCTGATGGGCCACTCTTCTTGAGGAACCTGGTCAATCATGCACTTGCACAGGGTGAAGTCCATGTTGGGGAGATTGCTGAGGGCCTTCAGCAGAATCTGGGCTGTCACTACAGTCTGGAAGAGGGCCTGGTTGAACTGGTACAGCTTGAGCATGGCCAAGTTGGCTTCCAGGTCATATGCATTCTCCTTGGCCTGGGTCTCCACATAGTGCTCCAGGGTGGCCAGGTTCTCAGAGCATCTGATTGAACAGTGTCATGTCCTCCTCCATTTTGCAAGCAGATGCAGATGCTGAGGCTGGGTGCAAAGCTGCAACACCTTCCCTTCTATTTTAATAATGTCCCTGTTTATCTCCTTTTTTTTTCCAGATTTTTAATTGATCTTTGGTAACATTAATCTTTTTACTCTTGGTATTCTATTGCTCACTTTCTGACTCCTTCCTAGGTGCAGGACCTGAAAGGTGTTTCAACCCCCTCCTATGTTAAGAAATTCACATTCACTTTTTATTGGCCTTAGTCACTATCCCAGTCCCCTAGGGGATAGCCCCTATCCCCATATTCTCAGGGGACAAGACTGTCACTGGCTGGTTGACAGCTCTTTTTCTTTTAGTCATACTCACACGCATGCTGGTACCTGCCTAGATATTTCTGTTATTCAGTTCTTTGGCTGAGTGCTGCCTTTCCCTAGCAGAGCACCATTCCCACCCTACCCCACTTCCTGTAACATCCCTTCTTCTACAAGTTGATAGACAGAGTTGGTCTGCCACAAACTTGCCACAGAATGGCAGGGTGTGTTGGCAGAGACTGCAGTAGTAACAAAGAAATTGTTGATTGGACTCCAGAGCACAAGGATCATGCACCCTGCCAGAGCATGGGGGCTATTTGGGGTGTGTGTATGCTGAGTGAAAGAATTAGTAACTAGCTTTCTCAGCTATTAGTACATGAGGCTGTCACTTTGTTGGGCTTCTTGGTTTTTTGGTCTGTGTAGACAGCTGTAATTACTCAAAATTCCTCTTTGTGAGAGTTTTTAAGAGTTAGTGAGGATGGGGGAAAATAACCAGCCTTCCAGAAGTCTACATAAATGAATTATCAAAAGGAGGAGACAGAAGTGCATGGATTTATAATTGAATTCTATTAAAAATTCAAAGAACAATTAACTCTGATTTTACATATATTGTTTATAAAAGTAGAAAAGATGACATACCTCCAAACTCTTTCTGTGTTGTTGATACATAGACCAGGGAGAAAGAGCTCAGAAAAAGAAATTGATAGAATAAAACCTTTAAAGAATATTGATACAAAAACACTAAATAAAATAGTATAAAACAAGCTACAGAATCTATTAAAAAGATTATGCACCATGATCAAATGAAATAACTGTCAGGAATTCATGTTCAAAATAGACTCAGTACTAACGAAGCTATACATAATAGACCAGCTTAATTTTTTAAAATCACATGATTTTTAACAATGCATAATTTTTTTATAAAATGCAATATCTTTTTATGTTTAAAAATGTGAAAGCATAGGAATAAATGCAAATTCCCTTAATATGATATACAATATCTATCTGAAACCAAGGACTAGTATTATCTGTAATGGAGAAATACTAGAGGCCTTTCCAATAAGATCAGGGACAAAGCAAAAATGTTCATTAATGCCATAGTTATGAAATACATTTCTAAAAATACAATAGCAATGCCAAGAAAAAGAACTAAGGGAATAACCATAGTCAAAGAAGAAACAAATTTCTCAATTTTTGCAGATGATAAGATTATTTAGCAAACCCTAGAAATTCAACTAAAATTAGTAGAAAAAATTTATAACCTCAGGAAAATAGCAGGTTCTAAAACATCCCCACAAAAATCATTAGCCCTGGTGCAGCTAGGTGGTGCAGTGGATAGAGCACTGGCCCTGAAGGCAGGAGGACCTAAGTTCAAATCAGGCCTCAGATCAAACAACTTGACACTTACTATCTGTGTGACCCTGAGCAAGTCACTTAATCCCAATCGCCTAATTAAAAAAAAATTAGCCCTTTTGTACATTATCAAAAAGAAATACATCACTAAGACTTTTGAGACACACTGTACATATACATGTGTATGTATATATCAAATAAATCCAGGATAATTAGGGCTAGGGATCAGGAAATTTCGTGTAGAAGATGGTACTTGAGCTTAATTTGAAGGAAAGAAGGGATTCTGAGAGAACATATGAAACATAGCCAGTACAAAGGCGTGGAGATAGGAAATGGAGAGCCATGTGTGAAGAATAGCAAAATGGGCCACTTTGGCTGGGCCATAGAGGATGTCAGAGAGTAATGTTTAAGTACAGAAACGCATGTTGTGGCCAGCTTGTGAAGAGATCTGGATGTCAAACGGAGGAGATTGATTACTTTTTATTCTAAATCCAATGGTAGTATGTATCTACTGAAGTTTGATAAGTAAGGGAGTATGATACAATATAAAGACTTAAGTAGCCTCCCCATCCCTCTAAATGAAGAAGTCCCAGGAAGCTTAAATACCCTAAAATTACCCTGTCAAAGTAAGACTTGAAGTAATGGCTAAAAGCTTGTTGTGTAGGGAATTTTGAATATCAACCAGCCAACAATTCCCTCAGCATTCTCCCAGCCCAAATCAGGACCAGTCCTTAGGTCCACACTCCTTGATCTCTCTCTCCAGTACGTGGTCCTGAGTAATACAAATAACCTAATAAAAACCCATCAAACTTAACTAATTTTGGTGTCCCCCTACAACCTGTCAGGGGGACAGTTAGGTGACACAGTGGATAGAGTGTTGGACTGGAGTCAGGAAGACTCATTTTTCTGAGTTCAAATCTGGCCTCAGACACTTACTAGCTGAGTGACCCTGGGCAAGTCACTTAACCCCTTTTGCCTGTTTTCTCATCTATAAAACGAGCTGGAGAAGGAAATGGCAAACCACTCTAGTATCTTTGCCTAGAAAACCCCAAATGGGATCATGAAGAGTCAGACATGATTAAAACCACTGAATAACAACAGCAATGACCTGTCAAACCTGACTTGTTTCTGTCATCCTTGACTTCCCTTCATTGTGAGCATCTCCCCTCAGTAAAGCCAGCTTACTTTATTTGCTAACTCTCTTGATTTGCTCTGATCTTCCTTGTACCGTACTTTACTCATTTTGCATTAAGACAGGTAATCAGATCTACACTTCAGAAAAATCACTGGCAACTAAGTGGAGGATGTTGACTGAACTGAACAGAGACAAGGAAGAGAGCCCAATTAGGAGGTCACTGCAATCTGCAATAATCCGGGTGATGATGGCCTGAACTAAGGAGATTGCTAAGAGATTAAAGAGGAAAAAAAATAGATAGGAGAGATATGGAGAAAGAAACAACATTTGACAACTTATTGGAGAGTAAAGGAAAGCAAGCATTTGAAAATGTCTTTGAGGTTTCCAGCCTGGATGACTGGAAGGATATTGGTACTCTTGACAGTAAAGGGAAGTCTAAAAGAAGAGTGGGTTTGTGGAGGGGAAAAGAGTGCTGTTTTAAATACGGAGGTATAGGAGAAGCTGGTCAGAACACTTTTATCAATTGACTTTACACACGACCCCTCCCAAGCCCAGTAGATGAAAGAACAGAAGGAGCAGGCAATAGAACAATAAAGTGTTAATATATGAAACATACTTTCTTTCAAGGTTTTTACTACCTTGCTATGAACATTTTGGTACATATGGAACTTTCCTTTCTGTCTGGCTACCTTGGGGTATATGCTCAGTAGTTCAATTTCAGGGTCAAAGGATATGAACAGTCTATTATTGTCCTTACATAATTCTAAATGCAAACATTTCCATAATTCCAAATTCAAACATATTAATAATGTTATATTCCCCAAGAATCTTTTTAAATGCCGTATCCTATTCTATTCATTTCTTTGTGTGTATGAATATCATAACCATATATACATAAGATACTCCAAGGACTGATTTTAAGATTACATCATTCATGACTTTCCCAAAATACCAGCTTTTCATCTCTCAAACTGAATTGGTTTTGGATATTTATGATTTCTGTGTCATGGACTTGCAGAAGGTAGAAGGGACCTTAGGTATCACCAGGGGTGTGCTGGAGCCAGCTCTGAGAGTTAAATTTTCAGCGGGAACATTTATATTTCAGAAATTCTAAACTGCTACAAATCAGGGTTTAATTTATTGCTTATTGATTTTCTAGACTTAAGAAAGTGCTAATAATGCAGATTAAAGTTGAAAGTGTATGTGCTTAGGGTTTCCCCTCTTCCCCCAGAGAGCTGATTGTTAAACATTACCAGCACATCCTTGTATTGCTCTACAAACATTACTTAAGCTCAGCAGGAGTGCAATAGAAGCCTCGGGGAATGAAGTCATCATCAGACTAGAGGCCTGGTTACTGTAGGCTAATAATATTAATAATAACTGGCATTTATATAGCACTTTAAGGTTTGCAAAGTGCTTTACATTCATTATTTCATTTGAGTCTCACAACACCCCAGGGTATCATTAGTCCATTCTGCAGATGAGGAAACTGATGCCTAGAGCTGAAGGTAAGTTATTGGGCAATGGTCACATAGTTAGCAGGTGGAAAGGCCAGCACTTTAACCCATAGCTTTAGAATCCAATGTCACAGCTCTTTTCACTACAACATACAACCTTCCAATTTTGGCAGCTCACCAGAAAGAATGGTTAAATTTTGGGGAGTCTTTCCATGTTGCTTAATGTAAACTAGTTCCTTTTAAAAATCAAATTCCTCTGGATAATGTTTCTAAAAGCCTTTTAATGTCCCTTTTAAAAATGAAAGGAAAAAAAAAGGCAGCTAGTTATACCTCATTAGCTTCACTGGATTCAGAGGTCTGTTTTCCACAGCAGATCAGGGACTCCTGAAGAAGGCTTAGGTCTTAATTTTGACACATTAGATGAGGGAGGCCATACTCTGATTTAAAGGATAAACTGGTCTTTGTACCTTAGAAAAAGATCCAATCTTCCTTTAATTCTGGTTCATATTTCTGAGTTCTTTCCTCACAACAGCCTTGAGAACCTGGCATGGCAAGTATCATTATCCCCATTTTACAGATAAGGAAACTGAAACAGAGAATTGAAGTGATTGCCCAGAAACAAACAGCTAAAAAATGTAAGGCATAAGATGTGAACATAGTCTCCTGTGATCAATCAATCAATCAAATAATCAACAAAGATTTACTAAGCACCTGCTATGTTCCAGAGAAATG